CGGGCCGCGGCCGCTGCCCTTCCCGAGGGGAATGGCCGAGAGCGAAGCGGCCTGGGAGGGACCCGACCCTCGAGGGTTGGGGTGACGCAGGGGTCCGGAGAGGGTGAAGTCACCCAAAATGAAGCATTTCCTCTGAAAGTGTCTTCCCGCCCAGCAAATGGCCCCAGCTATGCATGGTGGTGAGGGGAGACGGCTCTGGCGAAGAGGGAGACATCACCCGCCCGGCAAAGGCACATCAAACGGGCATTGCCCACTTCGGGGCGTTTTTAACCATCTGAGCCACTGCCCTGCCTTAGAGTCACAGAATCGTCTGGGTTGGAAGGGAAGACCATCGAGTCCAACCGTTACCACTGCCAAAAACACCACTAAACCACGTCCCTCAGCACCGCGTCTACCCGTTTTTAAACACCTTCAGGGATGACGGCTCAACCACTTCCCTGGGCAGCCTGTTCCAATGCTTGATAACCCTTTTGGTGAAGGAATTTTTGCTAATATCCACCCCAAACCTCCCCTGGCGTGACTTGAGGCCGTTTCCTCTTCTATCACCTGTCACTGGGGAGAAGACACCGACCCCCCCAGCCACAACCCCCTCCCAGGGGGCTGTACCAGCGGGTGGGCACCCCGAGGCCGGGTCCAAGAGCCGTGGGCTGGGAGCGAAACCCCCCCGGGGTTTCCCCGGGCACCCCCAGTTCCCAGCCCTGTCCCTCCGGCACGTCGCTCATATTCCTAATTAAATCCCTGCGGTGTGTGTTGGGGAGCTCTTTCTAACTGCAGGGTTTGGCATCAGTGTCTGCCACCAATGAGAAACTTGCATTAAGCTGGTTTTTTTTTCCTTGTGCTTTTTTTATTGCTTACTTTTCTTACTAGTGACATTATTTTTAACCTGTCGTTTAATTTAGCACTTGGGTTGCAGTCGATCATCTTCCTTTTAATCAGGCAGGGGCGGCTGAGGCTCACAGGACAGACCTTTCTGCAGCATCCCTGCAAACCACCGTCAGGAACGCGGGAGGGACACGCACAAACAGCAGTGACATTTTAAACTGGCATGACAAAGGTTACACAGTGACTCAGTGGCATTTTTTTTTTAACACCAGATCACATGCCGTTGATCTCACGCAAGAGACAGTAACAGGCTGAGCAAAAATTTTGCCCAGCTCGTCCCGAAAGACACAACCAACTGTATGGGAAACAATTCGTTCAAAGAATGGTTTGCAAACAAGATTTACCCAGTGACAACTGCGAATTCAGACCTCAGAGAGCTGGAAGACCAGCCTTCTGTCACCTCGATCTTTTTAGTTTCAGTCACTTCCTTTTTCAGTAGAAGCTGTCCTAAATGATCACGCTTTTTAACCCATGACCCCTTTTGTCTATTTTCAGCATCTGTGGCATAAGATATAAAACGAAGGCACGGCACACAAATGTGGACACATGGTGATACGCTCTAGGAAGCAGAATGCTCTCTTGCACACCATGAAAGCTTTAAATCCCAACTTACTAAATCTGGAACAATCCAATACGATCAAATGGCAAAACAGCCTTTTCCAAAGTCATACGCAACCCCTCTCGGACCGATGGGGAAAAGCTATTCCGGAGATGAGTGCAGGAGCGGGCCTAAAACCAGAAACGCAGGCCCTGCTTCACCAGTAAAACTGCACAGTGCCACTAGATGTCACGGTGGAACAGCAAGAGGAGCCCGAAGTGCAGCTTTGCACTTCTTGCTATAATTGTAAAATGCCTCTAAATTTGACTCGGCACATCCATAGTGCCTCCGTACGGCTTTGATCCTGCGGATTTCAAAGCTCCGCGCAGCGCAAAGGGACGTCAGGCAACGTTTCAACAACAAGCACAGGGAAGCCCCGTGCAGTGAGCTGATTCCTTTTGGGCTATGGGACTTTTTTTCTTTTTTTCTTTTTCCCTCTACTTGAGCTCCTCTCCCAAGGCTGCTCCAGGGCTTTTAAGGACTCGAAGGCGGCGGGCGATGCACTGGGATGGTCTCTCTCACGCTCTCTGGGGATGAGTACCCTACTCTCGTGCTTGTGCCAAGCCCTGTTAAATGCAGCTCGGGTTCACCATTGCCTAGTTACACAACGTACTTCTCCCCGGAGTCATAAGATTTCCTCCTCCAAGAAAGACCATGTAGAAGAGGATTAGCAGCGAGTTCACTTGACTCAAAACTCCCCACTTCCGCCATGAGCCTTCCTGCTCGTGCCGGGCGCGTGGAGCCTCGGACCCCCTCGCAATCCTTGCCCCCCCTCCCGTTTATCAGTTACACACACCAAACCCGAGCAAAGCCAAGAACGTGTTCTTTCCCTGCTCCTTCCCTCCCCTTTCCCATATGGCAGCTGGGTTTGTGCCCGCGCTTGGCAAGCCCCGACGGTGCCTGTACCTGTGCGGGGCACACGTGCATACGTCTCCCTGCGGAGAGCAGCAGGGGCTGCGCGGATCCGGATGCAAAGGAGGAAGATACGCAGAGAGGCAGAGGGTTGGCCATCACCATTGGAAGCTGCTGGGAATCGCACCCGCTGCTTTGTGCTCACGGCTTGGCTGCGCAAAAGCAGCAGGAACATGCTGAGCCACAGCAAGAGTGTTTGTGTGTGGAGCGCAGATCAGTGATATTTTGTTTTCTTCGTGATTTACAGGTGCTCAGTGCTCCCCGTGCGTTCCCCACCTGAGGGGGAACCAGATCCCCCAGCCGTGGGCGCAGCCCCGCAGCCTGTGGGCATCAGCGGGGAGCACTGGGGCACACCGGGCAGCGCAGAGCCAGCGCTTGGCTTGGATGTCCTGCTGCTGCTTGGAGTAACCACAAGGGAGACTTGGGCCATTCTTTGTCCTCAGAGCAAGTTTTCCAGATTTTATTGGTTTAGTTTTAATATCTGTCTTTTTGCAAGCTTCTGACTGCAACTGAACCTCTGGATTGGTTCTTTTCTCCTTTTTTGGAGAAACCGTGGTCCCTCTGTTTGGTCTTTGCTTTTGTTTTGTTTTTTTTTAAGGCTTATGAAGTTTTTCACTCCCTTTGTATTTCAGGTTTCATTCCTCAACTCCTCTAACCAACTTCTTAGTCATTTAACATTATTATTAAACGTATTTTTAAAGGCTTAATTCCCAGTTACACAGTGATACAGTTGTACAATCGTATTTGAAACACCCAGTCCCCACCCAACCCACTCAAATAATGTTTCTGGCAATTTCAACCAACCCTCTGCTTGTGTAAGGGTATTAGAAGTGAGATTTAGGGATAGTCAGAAACCTTAAACATAATACTTAATGTGCATACACAGAGCGAGAGGGATTTAAAGCCGTTATGGCATTAAGGCTCAGGGAAATGGCAGGACTGGTGGAGAATAAATACGGAATGAATTAAAAGCCAAGCCAAATAATATTCACCTAGATTTAAACTAATGTATGCTGCTTACTTGGGGCCTTTCACTGACTGTTTGAACGCGGAGGAGATGGTCTCAGAGGGAGAAGTCAAAGTCACATGGGAGAAGAAGTTTCTATTATACCTGGTTTTGTGCTGGCCCCACAGAAGTCCCTGTGCGAGAGTTTGTAGGTGAATTAGGTTAAATTCGAAGCTCCACGTTATCAAGTCTGAGCCTGCGTCACCCAATGCTCCCTTTGTGCCCATGGGAAGAAACATGCAGCACAGAGGCTGATTCATCTCATCCTGGGGCAGGTGTCTAAGAATAGCGCAGACAAGTCATCCTCTGGAGATGCCTATTGTGTTCCACCTACTGTCAAAGGAGCCAAAGGTAATGAGCTTTGAACCCAATAATTTCCAGCTGCCTAGTGCCAGGGAGATGAGCACATGAGGCAGGGTGGCCGGAACCCTTCCTTTAGCTTCTCTATTCTTGACGAGATAAATAAATCCTTCCATTGAATTGCAAAGTTGCAGGAAACTCACCGATCACCTTTCTTTTCACCTTAAATCATGGCTCTTTTCACCAAATCGCCAAGCAGCAACGATGATGGTGGTATGGAGGGCTGGGATTTGGGACAGGTCTTAGCCACCTGGCGAATTGCAGCGCATCCAGCTATCCCATGGATTTGCATCCAGCTATCCCATGGATTTTTCAGCCCTGCTGAGCATCCCATAGGGGCTCGAGAGGAAGCCGAGTGCCTGAGAAAGAGATTTTTCAGGCGGTGTGAGCACATACACATGCACACAGACGCACACGCTTGCAGCACGGAGTGGAATTTGATGGGGGTTTGGAAAATGGCATTGATATTTGGGGGAATGGTTATCTGCAGGGGAAGGATCTGCTCAGGCAGTCAACTCCCGTTAGAACTCAGGCATGGTGCATGGCTGACTTTTTTTTCATTTGTTAATTTCACATTGTACATATTTGTAAGACAAATAAATAACTTCGGAACAAACAGGTCAGAGAACTGGAACCTGAGGGGGGGTGGTACATCAGCTCAGGGACTCGTGGTTAAGAAGTCCAATAGATTTTGATAACAACTGGAAATTGTTCAGTGGATTAGTGTCTAAAGCCAGTTTGGCTTCAAGTAATGACAAGCCTGAGCTGCCATGCCGTGGATCCAAACCTCTCCTGAGGGCTGTTGTTGCTTGTGTGGTGGTTGCGTGTAGGGCATGAGCCCAGTCCCCTCTGGGCTAAAAGATGTCCTGTCCCAGAAAACTGAGCAGATGAGGGGCCGCCTTTGCTTTTTCTCCAGACACTTGGCTGCATTCCCCTCTCCCCGTGTCTGCAGTCCCTCGCTTTGCCCTCCCAAGCCGTGACACAGGCTCATCTGGGGGACGTGGGGCAAATGTATGTAGTTGCCCAACTCCTGCACTGTGCCATGTCCTATCTAGGTGTTCAGAGCCAAAAGGCTTCTGTGGATCTTGTCCCGGTTCATCTCTTGCAGGAGCTGACTCCTGTGGAATGTGCACATGCTGTTAACAAGGTGATGGAGAAGGTTCACTTTGCATTCCTAAGAAAAAAATTGTTTTGCTGTGACAAGGTCCACATTTGTTTCTGCGGGGCTTTTTTATTTAGAAGAAGCTGGCCCCATGCAGGAGACCAGATCAAGGTGTCTAGAATCTCCTTAGGTTGTGTTTTGGCCATCAAGGAGAAAGCTACAAATGGAAATCATAACTGGTTCCACTTCGGGGCTATGCCCTGTGCACCCTTCATGATCCTGAGACGTGGCCAGTCAATTAGAAACTCTCCATTGACTTGGATGGGCTTTCAACCAGACGCTATACAATTCAACAGAGTAATTAGCAAAGCTGTAACTAAAGAGGTCTCCATGGAGATTGACAGCATCACCTCCCAGCTGGTACATTCTCTGCCTCCTATTCTAAATTTGTTCTCGCTGTCTTCCTGGCTCTAATCCATAAGGTTAGCTAAATCTTCCGACATTTGTGATTCATCAAAGCAGTGGAGAGAAGGACAGTTGGGAGGGGGCAGAGAAAGGAATAACCCGGTGCCTTAAGGAAAGCAACAGAAACTGTTCAGACATATATAGTCAGAGTTTTGAGAATGGGATTAGGCAGAACAGCACCTCTGCCTGCCTGTCACTTGCAAATTCTTGCTAATACTTTAGGAGCTTATTGGAGGTCAGCACCAAACACCCAAACAGACTAATCTGTATTATAGACACATAATCAAAGTCACAAGGTTTTACATAATATATATTGGTGACACAAGAAGTGTTTGTTCGAATAATTTTGTCATCAAGATTAGTGTCCATGAAAGCCTCTACTGTGCACTAACCTGGTTTTCTATGGCCGTTGGTGCGCCAGATTCCTCAAAGAAATCGGGAAGGAGCTGAGAAAGTACAAACCAAGTATATGTTCTGAAACAGTAACAGTATTAGGTTTCTAGCCATGGCAAAGTTTTTTTTAAAAAAAAGTATGTGTGTGTGTGTGTGAGCTAGAAAGGGTTGTGCTTAAGCTGCAGCTTAAGACACACAAACAAATGGTGGTAGATACAATTTTTGCATTCGTCGTTTTTTTTCAGACAGTTTTGGGGTTGCAGCAAATCGCACCTCACAGTCACACATCACGTCTGCGGCAAGGGTAAGAAGCAGGGATTTAGAAGACAAACTGATGTCACTTGACCCACTTGTCAGCTTTGTGTTCCCCTTCAGAGAGGTGGAAGCTGTGGCACAGAGGCGATAAGTGGTCTAGGCTCACAGAATAAGTAGAGATAGGAATATTGACAAATATAATTGATTTTAAAAGGAAATTAGTTTATGTCTGATTTTCCACCCTGCAGAGCTTTGTAACTACAGTGTAGTTACAGAGCTTTGTAACTAACGGAAACACAAAAGAAATATTTGTAAAATTATGAAAGAAGAAACACAAAAGAAAAATGAATTCAAGACCATTTTCTCTGTGACGGGGAGAGACAAAGTCACAGCTCATGCCATGGGTTGCAGAGATGATGTAAAGATTTTCCGGGCACACAGGCCACCTTGTTCTCATGGCTGACGCACTACAAAGCCAAAGGTTTTGTGAGGGTACCCCAGATCCTCCTGTCCCCCTGCAGAACTTCACCCCACCAAGCTGAAGCACCTAATTAGGAATGCCATTGCCCTAAACTTCCCCACGGTCAATGAGGAGAGAGCAAGAGCGATGCCAGCCAGACATCTGCAGAAGAGAAATCAGAACTTGGGAGGGCTGAATCCTCCTCTAGATTTACCGCAATTCACATGCTGCTGCCATGTGAACCCAGGGCTAAAATCACTCCGGCGGCTTTTACAGAACTCCTGAAAGCTCCTTTGTAGAAGCAGAGCTGACCGAACTGGCCTTCAGGTCAAGAAAAATCAAGCGCTGGGTGGGATTTCCAAGAGTGTTTGGCTGTAACCTCACCCCGCTCCCCTTTGAAGTCAGCAGAATATTTACCATCGACTTCAATCGGAGGAAAATCAGGCCATTAGAGAGCGTGTTTGAAACGCTCGCCTCTAACGATGCTCCGATTCCTTTGTACCTCCCTGCTCAAAGGCAGCCTGCTGCGTCTATCATTAAAACACAATCCTAGCAATTGGTTAGCTAACGCAATGAGCCCAATGTGCAGGCCCTAGAGGCACAGGAAAATTATAACGATTAAACCACGTGAATCTCTTAAACATTACCTACAATCGCTCTGCCGGCCACCATCACGTCAGGCAATCAAGGACCGGTTATCTTCAAAACGGCTGTGGGAAAGAAAGTGCTGCATCTGAGTGAACCCTGCTACGGTGTGGGCTGCAGGTGGACTCTTCCTGCTGCAAACAATAAAAAAGCAAAATAAAAATGTATGTTGAATTAGCTGAAATCAGAAAGAGCAACAATGAAAAAAAGCCATTAAATGCAGACAAACATCACGTTGCCGGGGCAGGCGGGATTGGCTTGCTACTCTAACGATCAATGGAAGTACATCATGGCTGCTTTGCAGACATCACTTGTACCTCCAGCTTGTGTTCAGCTCTGCTGCCGAATGCATGCCAGGAGAGAAGCACCCTGTTTATGCCACATATGCATTTCGTCTCCTTTGGGCATTTTGAGTAACGGTGTCAGTGGCCCAGCAGAGATTTACTAACTCTCTCTGATGACCGTCATCTGGGTTCAAGCAATGCAGAC